TGGCATGCGAATTTTTTTAGTGAATCAATGGTGGTAGGTATTTAATTGTTTTAAAAAGCTATTTGTAAAATTTTAATAAAACCCAAACAAAGGAAATTGGATTTATGCATTCTCTTTTGTTTTCTCGAGAATTTACAGCACTATTTATTTTATTAAATTGTTTATTTACAAGAATAATTTATTATTTAAAAGTTTATACAAATTTTAAAATGTTAAGTTTACAGACATGTTAACCAGCTACAATGCAATATTTATTATTTACCATATTGTGAAGGAAATAAATATAAAAACATTGTTTTATTAATAAATTTATAAAAAAAAAAAGCCTGAACTATAGAACTAGGAAATTTAAATAAAAATAATTACCCATTTTACGATGGTGATTTTCTAAGCGTAGCTTAAATGCTGTATAAAGCCGAAAGAGTGAAGGAGGGAGTGGGGTCATTCACTATTCAGTCGTAATTGATCCAGCTAGACAAGCTTGTTAACCATTACACTACCTCAAAGTGGCCAAAAGATTTTGTAGGCACAGCTTAAATGTGGTACAAAGCCGAAATCCTGGGCACCCAGTGACGATTGAACTCACTATTCGGTCATAAATGATCTAGTGCGATAAGCTTGCTAAGCATTACACCACGTTGAAGTGGCCCCTCCAAATTTCTAAGCACAGTTTAGATATGGCACAAGGTCAGAAGTATAAGGGCACTCAGTGAGGATCAAACTCACTATTCAGTTGCAATCGATTAATGAAACAAACTTGCTAACGATTACCCCACAGCGAAGTGTCCAAAATATTTTCTAAGCGCAGCTTATATGTCGCATATGGCCGAATTTATGGGGTTCCCAATGATGACCGAAATCACTATTCAGTCGTAATTGATCTAGCGAGACAAGCTTGTTAACCATTACACTACGTCGAAGTGTCCTAAATGAATTTCTAAGAGTAGCTTAGATATGGCACAAGGCCAAAAGTGTGAGGATAGAAATTACGATTCACTCGTAATGGATCTAATGAGACAAGCTTACTAAGCATTATCCCACGGCAAAGTGTCCAATTGCCGATTTTACGATGAACGTATAATAATAGCTAGATAACCTACCCACTGCCTGGAAAATTAAAACAGATATTAACCTGAGATACATGATAATCCGTGAAGAAAATCTATAATGTCTGGAAAATGCATTTCTTTTCAAAATTTACATATATATTTTTTAATCATTTCACTCCAAGCAAAGCCACTAAGTTGTAAGGAGCAGGTTTCTGGGAGTTAGAAAAATGAGAAGATTTTAGGAGCAGGAACGGGGAATCCCATCCTAAACAGGAAACAAGGAAAAAACCTCTATTTCTGTTCAAAAGATGGGGAATGAGTGTGAACCGGGCGATGATAGTCGTCGTTGTGTTTATTTAAAACAAAAAGAAGAGAAAACCGTCCTTTTAACACGCCTTAATTTTTTTTTTTGTTAAATATTACCAGGGAACCTTTATGATGAAAATATGATCGAACCTTTTTTTGTTGCTCTTCAATCGACGGTCTTGTATATGTCCAGATTTAACTCAGAAAATATGTCTGGTCAGATTGTCGTCAAGTGCTGATTCGTCATTCATTTGTAATTCGTCATCCATCATGTAGGCAAGTTCTTTTACAAGATTTCACCAATCACCAAGCGACTTCAACACCAGGGGAGACTCACCGAAAGGCTTAACTGACATTTCATGTCGGTTCTAGTTAATAATATATATATATATATATATATATATATATATATATATATATATATATAATGGACACTCTCTCGTCGGTTTCGACGTATGAGGATCTGACACTTAATTGTTTCAGTTATGAAATTTTGTACGATAATCTTAAGTGGCACTTAAACCCGCTAGTGATTTACAAAGGCGGCCGCATATGAAACAAGAGTGAGGATTGTGGGATGAGATCACTGTTAGATTGGCTGACCTTTTAGATCATACTCTCGCTTCTTGAAGATGATTCAGACAAGAAGATTGAAAACTGCTGAGTCCACTAAAACACTTTGATCTCCATTCTACCGCTCCAAGCTAAGCGCTCAAGGGTATTATGTGGTATATTGACAGCTGACAAGTTGCTCTTCAGCTTGTCTTTTTATCTTAGCCATGGGCGTCCTACATTCCTGTAGCCCTGATCTGACTGGCTGTACATTAAGATCTTGGGTATCCTGTCATCAGACATTCTCAAGACATGACCAGTCCATCGTAACTGAGACTGTATGAGAAAAGTCTCGATTCCTCCAATATTACACCTGTTAAACAGGTCTATGTTAGATCTTGAAGGTTAACTGCACAGATTGCACTCAGATATCTTTTATGGAAAACATCCAGCTGGAATATATATATATATATATATATATATATGCTCACCATATTTTCCACTGTATAAGGAGCAGATTTTAAATTTAAAAAATGAATTAAAAAATCTATGCTGGCATTATGGGTAGAAATCCATAAAAGTCAGGTCTCTTATCTTCTTCTTTTATGTGCCGTGTCCCTTCAGGACGTAGGCGATCGTGGCCCTCTACATCTTCCTGTCCCTTGTACCTCTTAATAAGTTTTGTCTCTTTGTTATTTCTCCCAAACCCTATTCTGTCATCCATTTGCTCAAACCCATCAAGTATGTTACGCGCTGTTTTCCTCTGTTCCACTTTCCCTTAATCTATTCTGTGAGTATCAGATTTTCCAAGCCCCCCTTCCTCATTACGTGCCCTATAAATTTCAGCTTCCTTTTCCTGATGATAAGTATAAGTTTCCTTTTTCTTTCCATTCTCACCAAAACCTCTTTGTTGCTCACATGTTTCACCCATGGTATTCTCATCATCTTTCTGTTGAACAACATTTCTGTTGCTTCAAGTCTCTTCCTTATCTTTGAAGAGATTGTCCAGCATTCGCTACCATACAGGAAGAAGATATTACATAACACTTCAGTCGTCTTTTCTTTGTTCCCAACGAAATTTTTATGTCTCTTAATACTCTGCTTAACTTTTGGAATGCATCTTTGTCCAGCCCAATACGTCTTCGAGTCTCAGTGTTATGGGTAGAAATACATTAAAGTCAGGTCTCTTATATTTTTCTTTTATGTGCCGTACTCCTTCATGGTTAAGCATATCACATAGTAGTGCCTTCTTTCAGACAAACAATATGGCTTTCATTTCTCTAGGTCAACGGCTGATGTACTGACAATAATTCCGGAAAGAGTCAGTCAAGCTCTATATAAGAATAATAAAGCTCGGACAGATGGACATCTCAAAAGCTTTCAACAGGGTTTGACATAAAGGTCTTCTTCACAAGTTGAAAAGTTACCGTGTCTCCGGACAAATTCTTTGACTAATCCAATCTTTCTTATCAAATCGTGAAATGAACGGGCACTCTTCTAGATCCTTTTGTACTAATGCCGGTGTCTCATAGGTCTCTATCTTTGGTCGTGTTTTGTTTTTAATTTTCGTTAAAGACCTACTCGATGGCATCAGCTCTTAACTTGGTATCTGTGTTGATGACACAACTATTTACTCCTCTCTTGATACTAAGTTTGATCAGTTCGATAAGGTCAAATTGGATGCTGATCATAAAACGACCTTCAGTCTGTTGTTAACTGGGGCAAAGGATGGCTTGTTAATTTTAACACCTCCAAAACTAAACTGCTCTCTATTAATCATCTGAGGGAGCCCTTTCTGCCTTCCGCCAGCACGCCTGACGCAAACCTCCAGGAGAGTGACTCGATGCGTTTTCCCGGGCTAATCTTGGTTCACTGTGTTGTACTAGACAATTTATCTCCCCAGAAACTATCTTATATATCTGTAAGTCTACCATTCATCCATGCTCAAAATTTTGCTGCCACATATAGTCCGGTGGCCCTGCTATATATCTAGAGATCCTTGATAAAATCCAAAGAAGAATCAGCAATATTATTGAACCTGATCTGGCGTCTCGGCTTCAGTCACTTTCCAACCACCGTAAATTTGCCACTCTTTGTCTTTTCTATCAATACTTTAATGGCAATTGTTCCAGACTTTATGAATATAAGCGTAGTACTAGACTGGCGATGAGGTGTCATCAATTGGCAGTTGAGTTGGCTCTCGGTGTAACTGTAAGTTCTATGCACTTCTTGCTTGTGGAACTCTCTTCCGGCTCCATGCTTTACATTCAAATTTAATCTTCAAAAATGTCAATGTCAGTCGCTACCTACTGCCCTCCTGATTACTCTTCCTGTGATCCCGTGTTCTCGCTCCTTAGTAATGTTTCTGTTTTGTAATTCTTCCACACTCAGTACCCCCTTGAGTCTCAGTGGTTTTACTGGCTTGCTTGGGGTGAAATTGATTAAAAAAAAAGAAAAAACGTGAATCTAATGAAGCCGATTGGCATTCGAACTTGACTCTCCGTCTTTAACAAGAAGAACAGCAACAGCAGCCACAACAACAATAATAATAAAAAATTATTATTATTGTTGTTGTTGGTGTTATAATAATAATAATAATAATAATAATAATGATGATTGCTTTGATAATACACCCACCATGATTCTCATCGCTCCTGATCTTAACTGATTGGAGATGTTAACATATACATGTTTTGTTTTAGTTAATTAAGATGGTACTAAAGATCTGCATACCAGTTACCTAACCATAGCCAGTTGAGCATATCCCCTTAGGGTTTGACGTATTGTGCATTTTTATTTATGTGCGGAAGTAAAGGGTGTATATCGGGAGAGTCTGTTCTTTTCAAGCTTGAAGGATGAGGCATTTAGATAATTAGGGACACACTCAGTCGGACGACGTCTGAGCAGACTGAGTTAGATAGCTGAAGTTATTTCTAACTGAGCTTCGCCTGTAAAGTCATACACTGCGTTTATCAAACCTCTCATCATATTGCACACATTTGCCTATGAGGCATGTTCTTGATATACTCTTGTTAGTATATCATGACTGATATATTGTGCTTTGTATATTTCTACCCCAGAATCACTTTGTTGATGTGCTACTCTCTCTCTCTCTCTCTCTCTCTCTCTCTCTCTCTCTCTCTCTCTCTTTATCTCTCTCTCAATAATAATAATAACAATAATAATGAAAATTGTGTTAGCCCCAAATGCAGACTCTCTGATAAATATCCAGAATCATTTGACCATTTTGTATCAAGTTGTATAGTGTTAGCACCAACTGAATATAAAATTCGTTATGATAGAGTGGGCCAATATCTGCACTGGAAAATATTCAACTTTTACAGGAAGGAAACTGCAAGAAACTGACATGAAGATCACCCAGACTGGTTAAAAAGATAGTACTTGTAAGTATTTTATAGGATTTTACAATACAAACGGACAGAACAATCAAAGTTAATTGGCCAGGGGCATCGTGATCAAAGACCACAAAAATAGAATGTGCTTTATTATTGACATGGTAGTCTCTGCAGATTATGATGTATCTTTGAATATCTTCAAAAAAAGCTATTAAAATACAAGAATCTTGAAATGGAAATCTTAAGAATGTGACACACGAGGACATCAGTAATTCCAGTTCTAGTTGGAGCTCTCGGATTGATTAGAAAAGGGTCCAATAGACTCATTGAAGGAATTTCTGGTAATCCATGAAATACAAAAAATTGTACTCACAAATACTGCTCACACATTACGAAGTGCTTTAGCTATATAAAAATGTGTGTAATCCTTTTACAAAAAATATCAGTGGAAATATCATGATGCCATTTCTGACCTTAGGTCTTTGGTTGGTACCCGGAAGGAAATTAGTATACAACAGAAATAAAATGAAATAATAATAATACTAATAATAATAATAATCTATGATAAAAGTTAAAGATCTACTTTTTTTATTGATGCTGTGATTCTAAATTATGACAGGCTTCTGTGTAAAAAAAATGCCCGACAGATTTTGAAGATTTGAAGAAAAATCAAATTCTTAATATTATATGGATTGCTTAAAATAAAATTTGTTAAAAAATAATTGGAAACCTTCAAGCAAACACTTTAACTTAGACATCGAAATAAAATTCCGAAATGAGAAATGTGCAATGCAGTTGATATTGATACACAAGGCTAAACAAGAAGGAAGAAAAAGAACTGAACTGAAGAAAAAAAATCAAAGATTATACAAAGAAGAAATATTTGAAACTATTGACAATTGTGAAACCGTTTCAATCAATATTTAAATGCTAAGTAATATAAAGATCAACTGCTTTGAACCGATTCCAATCTTTATATTGTTTTTCTTTATTTTTTTTCTTATTTCTTTTTATAAATTGTGAGTATCTTGAAAAAATGTCGGAATGTCTCTTTTTCAACATAATAAAAATTGGTATCGAGTCAATGAAAAGATGACAAGAGTTGAACAGAACACCAAAGCATAAAAAGGGTGATTTTTGTAACATTTTTTCAAAACACAAATTCGTGATTTTTTTCGCGGAGGAATTTTATATCATGACGTTCTTACAAATAAACGATAACAATGATTTTTCCCCCAAAGTATATGAGGTAAACATATAAACACCAGAATACATCTTGCATATTTATAAATCTACCATTCGTTCGTTGCATTGAATATTACTGGCATATCTGGTCGAGTGCTTCGGTTGTATATCTTGAGATTCTCGACAAAATCCAAAGAAGGGTCTGTAATGTTATTGATCCTGGCCTGGCATCTCGATTTCAGTTACTTTACCCACCGCCGTGAGGTGTCTTTTCTATAAATATTTTCATCGTAATTGTTCTGATGAGCTTTCCTCTTTGGTATACCGACCGCATGAATTTACACGTAGTACTAGATTGAGAAATAAGTATGATTATTTTATTATTGAAATGGCTAGATATAACCGCAAGTTCTATTCTTATAGTTTCTTCTTTCACACGTCTTGCCTATGGAACTCTCTTCCGCATCCTTGCTTTCATATCAAATGTGACGAGAAAGATGGTAAAGTGAACCAACTTTCTTACTCTCAGACCTAGCAATTGATTCAATATAATCGCTTCTACTTCATGTCAGTAGAGACCGAAGGGGCGCAATGGATAGTTTTTTTGGAGGTTAACATCAGCCTTGATGACGGAGGACAAAATGGTTCGTTTTGGATTAGTGACATGGGGTGAAATTATATATATATATATTTTAAGACATTTTTATGTTTATACATTCTTTTTATAGATACAAATATTTAAGTAAATGCTCTGTTTATAATAAACAATATTAAACAACATTTACCGGTCTATAAAAAAAATATATAAGCATAAAAATGTCTTAAAATAATTGTCGGACTTTTGTCCATTTCATAATATATATATATATATATATATATATATATATATATATATATTTAAAAAAATAATCAGTTTATCTGACGATCGCTAAAGCGTGAAACCCAGGGTCACAAACTCACATCTATCCAACCAAATATATATATATATATATATATATATATATATATATATATATATATATAAACCATATCTTCATTCAAACATGTTTCATTGAATAATATAGGCATATTGCGCCTATCTCTTTTTATACTGATCCTTTTCAGTTCTTATATTTAAACGCTGGTTTACGAAAAATATACATATATATCCATAACTACAATAGATAAATAAAAACTTTAAAATGACGATAACAGAGTGCATTCGCGTGTGTTTTTTTAAAAATCCCCATCACAACGGAATACAGATTTTATCGCAGTCACAATAAGTTTGTCTTTGTAATTTATCCCTGAAGATGATCCTGGAAAAGATCGAAAGTACTTGGTTTAGAAATAACTACGGTGCCTTCCTTGACGAATTTCATCTTAAAATCAAGAATCTGATTAGAGAACTGGAAAGGATCAGTATGAAAATAAATAGATACACTCTGTCTGTATTATTTAATGAAACATACACACACGCACACACAAACACACACACACACACACACACATATGTATATATATATATATATATATATACATATAGTAAGGTAAAAATCCGTTGGTATATAATCCAAGTGCATCCTAGTAATACACAAGTATTAGAACTGATCCACAAAACATAGATCGATGTATTTTTATTCATATGAGGTAAAAGGATTTGTTTCATTATTAATTATATATCTATATATATATATATATATATATATATATATATATATATATATATATATATATATATCATTATTTGAAAGGATAAATAATGTGATTTATATTTCTTTGTTAATATTAAGATATAATAATTACTTCAGTTTTATTCCTAAATTCCAAAGTTGCGCGATAGCATTTTGATGAGCCCCTTCTCGATCATACAAATGGCACGAACGCAAATAGGAATCTTTTCCCGAAAATAGGAAAGATAGGGGGAAAATGGATAAACGAGTAGAAGTAGGCGTCTCAGCTGACCCCAAAGATGATTGAGACCCAAACGCCGAATCATTTCAAACCTCATCAAGAATACAAGGAGGATACGAGAGCCCAAATTTGCTTAATTTCTTCCGATGCTATGCTCGGTGAGTACACAACGCACCGCTGTGAAGAAATGGACGGCGTTCATGTTAACATTTCCTGTCACAAAATAATCTACTAATAGAAAAACAGAGTTCCTGTTTTCTCTCTAGAGACCTATGTACTGATGATGAAAGGGACTATGTTGATGACATAGGTACTCATAACTGGGATAAGAATGATCTTGAACAAAAATCAACATTCTTTACCAAGTGCTCCAAGAAGTTGTACGTAACGTATACCTTTCTAAATTGTGATCTGGAATTGGAATGAAAGCAGTAATGGCACATACCCTGAATCTATCATAGAAATACAGAATAATGAATAAGTAAATACTAAATGTTATGGAAAGATGCAAGCTTTCTTTCCCAACGAATGATCTAGGATTAGCAACAAATTATAGAGAAATCACCCTCACCTCCATCAGTTAACCCAAGACATGAACAGGTTAAGATTATAGTGATCGGGGAAGCATCCTCTTGGGAGTCAGTTCTGAGGAGCAGCGTTTCGTGGGAAGAAACTACTCGAGATGAACCTACATCTCACGGAGGGAATGAGGATGGTTCGCTACAATGTGCGCCGTATGACGTGTCTTAGTCGTGAACTAGAAATTTGTAATATGGAAAATAACTTGTCACCCACACGGACGCAGAGACGCTGTTGGGCTCTATCGAGATTGGATAGTGGAAGCTGGGCAACTCTTGCCCATATATAGCAGCAGTACTAAATCCTTTCCTTGACGATGCTCTGTGTACATATACAAGCACGGACGTGAAGAGATAGGCACTGATCACCTAAACATTCCATATCATATCTCAGATGAATCTGCGCTCCTGCTTCCCAACCAGAGGCCAATTTAGATCGGATGAGGGTCCTAGGCTGATGACATTGGTGTTCATAGTTGGGATAACAATGATCTTGAACAAAAATTAACATTCTTTACCAAGTGTTCCAAGAAGTAGGACTTAAGATATACCTTTTTAAAACAGAAACTGTGATCTGGAATTAGAATAAAAGTAATAATGGCACATACTCTGAATCACTCATAAAAATTCAGTATGTGAAATTAATAAATACTAAACACTTCAAATATTTCGGCGCATAGCTCAGTTATAACAAATTTTATTTGGGAGATAAAGAAACTGAACATAGAATAGGCTGCGCTAGAGGTAGTTTTAGTATAGGAGATAAAGAAACTGAACATAGAATAGGATGCGCTAGAGGTAGTTTTAGTATAGGAGATAAAGAAACTGAACCTAGAATAGGATGCGCTAGAGGTAGTTTTAGTATAAGAGATAAAGAAACTGAACATAGAATAGGCTGCGCTAGAGGTAGTTTTAGTATAGGAGATAAAGAAACTTAACCTAGAATAGGATGCGCTAGAGGTAGTTTTAGTATAGGAGATAAAGAAACTGAACCTAGAATAGGATGCGCTAGAGGTAGTTTTAGTATAGGAGATAAAGAAACTGAACCTAGAATAGGATGCCTAGAATAGGATGCGAACCTAGGGATGAGGTAGTTTTAGTATAGGAGATAAAGAAACTGAACATAGAATAGGCTGCGCTAGAGGTAGTTTTAGTATAGGAGATAAAGAAACTGAACATAGAATAGGCTGCGCTAGAGGTAGTTTTAGTATAGGAGATAAAGAAACTGAACATAGAATAGGCTGCGCTAGAGGTAGTTTTGTCCAACACCGAAAATTTTTACAAGACGAAAAATGAATTTGTAGTAAAACATTTCATATGTTTATTAAGTGGATCTGTAGTGAATGTATGAAATCCATCGGTGGCGAATGTTTCAAATATATGTAATGCATTAGCGTTGAATGTATGAAATTCATCGATAGCAAGTAAAAGAAATGTATTTGTTTCAAATGTACAAAATGCATAGATAGCAACTGTATGATATGTATTGGTCTCAAATGTATGCAAAGCATCCATAGCGAACATATGAAATATGACTATCTCCAAGACATCTTTAAAAATTTGAAAAGACATTTAAAATGAAACACATTGTCTCAATTATATGAAATACATCGATGGCGACCACTAAAATGTATCTAGATCAAATTTATGAAATCAATCGGTGGCAAGTGAATGGAAGGTATGCGTTTCAAATATATGAAATGCATCACTAGTGAATGTATGAAATTTATCTGTCGGAAAAGTATGAAATGGATCGGTGGTGAATATGTAAAATGTATGTGTATCATATTTGTGAATTATATATGTGGCGAATGTATGAAATGTATCTTTATGGAATATAAAAAATGCATCGGTTGTGTATGTATAAAATATATTGGTATCAAATGTATGAAATTCATTGCTGGCGAATGTATGAAATTTATGTGTCTTAAAAGTATGGCATACATTGGTGGCCAATGTATGAAATATATCTGTATCAATAGTATCAAATGCATGGATGGTGATTATATGAAATATATCTGTACCAAATTTATGAAATATATTAGTGGCGAATATATGAAATATATCTTTATGCTATGTATGAAATATATCAGTGGTGAATGCATGAAATGTATTGGTTTTAAAGGTATTCGATGCAGCGTTGGCAAATGTATAAAATGCATTTAATGTAGTGGTATCGACCATATGTAATATATTAGTAGTAAATGTATGACGTGTATTGATACCAGATTCTTCAATTGACCAGTTTCTTTCCTTCGAAATTGCTTATTTGATATTGATCAGATGTTCTTAATGAAGCGTGGATTTTTGAATGAACAAAATACTTGAAAAACAAAACTTTTCTTATATTACGTATAACTCTTCTATTTGTGAATCTTGAAATTGCCGACATACTTGGGTTTTTTTTTTATTTTTAATTATTTTTCTCATCTTATAGATTCATTCTTTTCTTATTACCCAGTCTTCTTTGTTATATACAATTACGTCTAATTTTGGAACGCTTTCTATATCGTCTTTTTTCCTCTCTTACATTTTCTTGTCCTCCTCCTATTCTTATTTCTCTCACTCTTTTATTGCTGTTTTCATTCTACATTCCTTTATTTAAAGCTTATTTTCCTGCTCTCCTCTTCTCTTCGCTCTCCTTCTCCACCTCCTCCTTCTTCTTCTTCTTCTTCTTCTTCTTCTTCTTCTTCTTCTTCTTCTTCTTCTATTATTGTTTATTACTCACTCACTCTTATGTTACTGTTTTTCATTCTACATTCTTTCATTTAAAACATATTTTACCCCTCTTTGCTCTCCTCCGCTTCTTCTTCCCTCCCCCTCCTCCCTCTTCTTCTATTACTGCATATTTCTATCTCACTCTTCTGTTACTGCTTTTAATTCTACATTCCTTCATTCAAAATATTTCCCCTCTCCTCTTATCTTCTTCTTCTTCTTCTTCTTCTTCTTCTTCTTCTTCTTCTTCTTCTTCTTCTTCCATTACTGCTCATTTTGCTCTTTCTTATATTACTGCATATTATTATTTTCCTTTCTTTCTATAACAATTAATTTTCCTCCTCCTCCTCCCCTCCTTCTCCCGATCCTTTTCTTCCTCCCCCTCCTCTTCTTCTTCTTGCTCCTCTTTCTTCCTTATCCTCTCTCTTGGATAAAACTCTTCTGCAACCTGGCAACGACCCATTCTACACCCAGACATAACCCAGCCCCACCCGTCAACCAGGTCGCTCCTTTATTTTCCCCCCTCACTGTTCAATCATCTCATATTATTTCTGCAAGTTAACTGCGCAGATTCGAATAGTAACGAAACATCCTCACGTTTTGGACCGTGCTCTGGTAAAAGTTACGGAAACCCGTACCTACAATAATACTTCTCCTTCCACTTGTCACTTTCTCCTTCTTTTCTATCAATCTAGCAAAACTCAGATGACACCAGCAAAATGCAAGTCAAGGATAAAACGAGTAGAAACAGTGAGAGGTGGCGCCTTTTGAAGTTAGTGCTTGAGCACTGACAGGAATATGGTATTATTATTAGTATCTGTAGATGGGTGAATAAGAGATAGAAAGAGAGATTAGTGAATCTTGGTACCTGTCTAAGCAACCAACAAAACAACCAATCAGCGATGAGCACGTGTTCAGTCAGTCAGGCACAGATTTTTACCTACTCTTTTTCTTTTTAGCGCTCTGCTTACTTACTGCTACCTGTTACCAAGGATGTAATCTTTAGCGTACTTACTTGGTCCAAGCTTGAGACAGATTTAAACTGATGACTCTGTAGTTTTTCTTATCTTCTTTTGTGCATGTGTTTGTGTTTGTCTGCGTGTACGCGCGCTTGCGCGTACATTTTCAAAACACTTTCATTTGAATTTCCTTCTCGACAGCTGTTTTTGTCTACCTCTCTCTCAGTCAATAAAAATGGCAATATGGTTTTAGCACCTTCGTAATGGTCGTCATTAGATTCATTCGTAATTCTGTCATTTTGCGTGCACATGCATATTTCAAACACACTCTCGTTGTTCACCCAATGCAAGACCAAAGAGCCACTCAAAGTGGAGGGTTGTTGAATGAGTTTGTTGTAACGACATTTGTAAAGAGAGGAAGAAAAAGGTGCATACTATGAGGATATGTAGGATAGATAACAGCTGACTCTAGACTTTAAAAATGTAAAGTTTTGATATGTTTATTGGACAAACTGTGGCAAATATTAAAATAAAAAAGAATCATGTTGCGCCAATCTGTTAAATTTGGAGAGTAATCACGCACCCAGCAACATCCCTCTTCTCTGCAATCAGTTTTACTGTCATTCGCCGCTGATAAAGCTTGGAAATTCTTTTCCAGCTTCATTCTCGACTCTTCAGGAGTAACTTTGCTCGATCCCTCACCTCCAGAACGTAATCTCTGCTAATATGAACATAACCCCGTCCAAGACTTTTACTATCATCTTCAAACTATATCCCCCCAAGGCATCCCTGCAATTGTCCTAAGAAAATGTGCTCCTGAGCTGATTCCTGTTCACTCTTAACTCTACAACAAATGCCTTGCTGCTACTTGCACTACAGCTTGTTGGAAACCCTCTTCTGTAGTTCCTGTCAAAGAGCTCTGGTGAACCTTCTCACCCCTCGAATTTCCTCGTTTTGTTAAAGTACTAGATGTTCTAATCAACTCTGAATTTGTGAAGCATCTCACTTCGCACGACCTACTTTCAAGTGATCAGTATGTGTTTCGCTTCTCTAGTTTAACTACCGATATTTTGAATTTGTCTAAAGAAGAACGGCGAGGCTTGAGCTGTGTCTTTAGATATCACGAAGGCGTTTTACAGGTTTTGGCTTGCTGGCTTTCTCCACAAGCTCAAAGTCTCCAGTGTCTCTGACTTAATATTGATATTTGACTTAATCCAATCGCTCATAACAAATCGGGCAATTAAAGGTCATATTGAACGGCTTCTAGGTCATTTCATATAAATACGGGAGTCTCCAAGATCTCTATCCTTAGAACTACGTTGCTTCTTATCTCCATCAACGACCTTCCCGGTGTCATCAGTTCCAAACGAGGAATTTCTGCTGATTAAACAACTAGTTACTCCTGTCTTAATAATAAGTCCAATAGGTCTGACAAGTAAAATTGGCAGCTCTTAAAAATGACAACCAATCAGTTGTTAACTGGAGTAAGGAATGGATTGTAAATTTGAACATCTCCAAAACGAAACTTCTGTACAGTGGAACCTCAGTTCACGGATTTAAATCGTTCCTGAAACCAGTTCGTAACACGAAATGTTCGTAAACTTAAACTATCTTTCCAAAAGGAATCAATGTAAAATGGATTAATCCGTTCCTGGTCACAAGATGATTGCTTATTTAAACGTTAACAACAGTACTTCGTGCACAAGTTTATACACAAAACTAATGAAAATCATTAAATCTAAGAAAAAAATAAACCCAACACTAAACTAGTATCACTGCTAGCTTTCTTTGGAGCCATGACTGAGGACTAACGAAGAGGAAAAAAGCACAGTACAATAAAATTAGAAAAGCACAGCCCAGCACAACGCACGAATGAATACAACACGGCGGTCGACTAAGAAATGATTCCGTTCGGGTTAACTAGGTTCGGCTCGGTTCGAGAACCAAAATTTTGTTTGATAACCGAGGCATTTTCATCTCGAATATTCTGTTCGAAAACCAATTTGCTCGACATGTGAGACTTTCGAGAACCGAGGTTTCACTGTACTTTAAACCTCGTAGAAAACCGTTTTGCCCACCATAAACATGATTGGTGCTAACCTTCTGGAGAGCAATTCATTACGAATTTCGTGGTCTCTCGTTTCCCACTAAGATGAAGTGGATCGATTATATTGAATCAATTATTAGGTCTGCTAGTAATAATGTTGGTTCACTGACTTGTGCCAAGTAAGTTTTTCTCGTCAGAATCCTTTTTGCAAATTTATAAATCTACCATTCGTCCATTCAGTGTTTCTACTATATATGGTCTGGTGCAACTACAATATATCTCAATATTCTTGACAAAATCCAAAGGTTTTGTAATGTTATAGATTATGACTTGGCATCTCGACTTTAGTCACTTCCTTACCGCCATGACGTGACTTTCCTCTGTCTTTATTATAAATATTTTCATGGTAATTAGTCTAATAAGTTCTCCTCCTTGGTATCCCGACCGCATAAAATTTAGCACACTACTAGATTGGTAACTAAGTCTCGTCGTTTTATTATTGAAATATCTAGATGTAGCCATAAAGTTCTATTCTTTTTTCGACATTTCTTGCCTGTGGATCTCTGTTCTGGTTTCTGGTTTCTGGCTTCCATGCCACTTGCAATCTTCAAAAATTCAAATGCAACGTCAATCACCATGTTCTATCTTCCAGGAACCTGTTCTTTTATTGTCCTTTCTCCTCACTAAAAAAAAAAAAAAACATATTTCGATTCGCATTATATTTTTTCGTTTCGGATACTACCTGAATTTACTAAAAACAAAATAGTTTCCATGCCTGAAGATGACTGAATGTACAGTCGAAAGTACTTGCGTATTTAAAAAAAAAATACAGCTTCTAATTAAAAAAAAAAGGATCATAACATTCATCGAGTGATTGGTAGGTTAATGCTTCTTTAAAATTTTGTTAGCGAAGGGATTTCGCCATTTTATATCATTAACTTTAATAATTTAATTTTTGTATGAATGATTCATTGTCATATATATATATATATATATATATATATATATTAATCCTTTGTATATATAATCATATATATATATATATATATATATATATATATATATATATATAGAGAGGGAGAGAGAGAGAGAGAGAGAGAGAACGATGGCCTGAAGATTACGTTCAACTATTAAACAGATTGTCGCCACTCGGTGTTCAACTCAATGCCTACATTTATATTTACACACGCTCTGTCCTTGTCTTACCCGTAAATAGAGCATATCTTAAACTATATTTTATCATACACAGACATACATATACATGCATATATATGTGTGTGTATAGTATAATTGTTACTGTAAACATTATTTTAGCATACCTTAAAACTATATTTTATCACTCACATATACACATCCTGGAGAGTCCGTTTACGAAACTCTGGAGTAGGGATGCTGAAGATAACATCAATCAGCTAAGTGACTTTTTACTTATATTTATGATAGATAGATAGATAGATAGATAGATAGATAAAGTCTCCGTTTCTAAACGGTTTTCTGAAAAAATAGTATTATATAAAAAATGGAGTGATTATTTTTAATTTACATGTATATCCCTGATATATTGCAGGTCCTGTTCCAGCCCACAGCAATAAGCGAAAAGCGTTATAAAGTGAGTTCCTCAAAATTTTGGCATCTCCCAATGTATATGAAATTGATGTTTACCTTCTACTTTAGTCTATAAAGTGTTCAGTAGTATAATAATGATAATGAAAAGATTTTAAATATTCCGTGAATCGCGCCGACATGCAATGAGCAAATGTGCTTAACAACATGGCGCCGGTTGACTTTTGCGTTCAATCCTGGTACAAACCTTCAATTTGCAAAAAGGCGCAATATCTTTCAAGCACAAAATAAATAAAGCGAAATAAAGCGAGCTATGTTCATTTTGCTTGCATTTTCGGTTAGACTGAGTAACCTGTGTTGGAAGGAAAATTCCTGATTTTATTTTTTTATGTGCGGGTAGTATAACGGCTATCGGTGCCGAAAGTGGAATCGGCGAGCAGAGTTCAAGATCCATCGTAGTCTTTGAGTTAGATTTCGCACTAATGCTTTTGTAAAAGGCTTAAATTTAGCTCTTCTCCCATCTGTGAATTAAATAGCAGGGTAGACTGCACTCTCTAGCCTTGGACTACTTTGAATCCACCGTCCTGGGTATGACGATAAACTACATCCAGCAGCAAGGTTTTGAGGAGCGTTGAACCACCTCTTAATTGCTGGTGTTCCGAGGTCCACTCTGACCCCGGAGTGGTAACACCTGTTAGTGTCCCAGCTATGAGTTTATAGTTAACCACTAACTGAGGTCAACACACTATGAAAGTATAAACATTTTTATAGTAAAAATGTCAGCAACATATTTTCATAGTAAAAAAATTCCTAGTAATACATTTTTGTAAAAAATAAATAAAAAATTACGAGCAAAACATTTTTGTAAAAGAAATTATTAATGTTCATAATAAAATTAAATTTCGGCATTAAATGACCCATCAGGAGTTGATGTGCAACTAAACATACAAATACTCACTTTGAATACAAAATCGTGGAGAAGGCAACGAGAAACCTCTCCATTAGATTTCTCAAGAAATCGTGGCAATTTACTGACAGTAAAGGAAAAGAAGCTGTGGAGGGCTATGATCGCCTAAATTTACAAGAGACTCGTCTTTATCTCCTACTTACTTCCATCGGTTCTTTGCGTATGTGCGCACGCGCTCAAGTATTGATATTTCTAAAAAGGTTTCATTGAATTTAACAAAACTTGACAGATTCGTTCACTGGGGCGTGTCTGAAATCTTTCTTTTGTTTTGTGTGTATATGTTTGTATTTTGTGTATGTGTATGTGTGTATCTTGTTTGTGTGTACTATATTAATCAAAATTTAATTTTTTCCTCTCCTAAGTAAATAATAAAAGACCAGAAAAAACCCTATGAGAATGACATTTTGTTTGGAAATGGAATTTAATAAATTAATCTTCATTCTTGGAGACAGAAGTTGCGTGGAATTGCATAACCATCAACGGACTCATTACATAATTAAACATATGCACATGCACACACATCCACACATTAATATACACATACGCATAACCCGACACAAATATGCAAGTATGTACATGCATTTATATAAAGTACAAACACGCACAAACAGAATCTTTCTTACACAGACACTAGAAAATATGTTAAAAGAAACTAACACTCACACACACGCGCACATACACATGCAACCGTACAAACTGCATCTATTCACTTTGGCCTACTGGAGGTTATGTTAATCTCACCATTCACCTGCATAGTGATTTCATTCCTCTCTGTGTGCCCAATTCCGGCTAATTTGTGGTTAAATAAACTTATGAAGTACATTATGTTTAAAAACTCACCTGAAATACCTCATCCTGTTTCCCATCAGTATGGTTGGCACTAAGCTCAATGAGAATAACTCGTTGCACTTTCTCCGATTAACATTCTAGACTGACATGAAGTGGAAAGATTATATTGAATCCATTACTAGGTCTGTTGCGAGGAAAACTGGTTCATTTTGCCGTCGGAGACAATTTTTCTCTCCTGAATCTATCTTACATATTCATAAGTCTACCATTCGTCCATGCTTTGAATATTGTTGCCACATATAGTTCGGTGCTCCTGCTGTATATTTCGAGATTCTTAATAAAAATCAAAAGAAAAATCAGCAATATTACTGGTCCTGGCCTGGTGTCTTGGCTTCAGTCACTTTCCCACCTCCGTAATATAGCTTCCCTGTGGCTTTTCTATAAATACTTTCATAGTAATTGTTCGGAGGAACTCTTCGCTATGGTACCTAGACTTTATGAATTTAAGCATAGTACCAGATTGGCGGCAAGGTCTCATCAATTTACAGTTGGATTGGCTAGATGTAACAGTAAGTTCTATGCTAACAGTTTCTTTTCTTTCACTTCTCGCTTGTAGAACTCCCTTCCAGCTCCATACTTTCCAGCCAACTTTGATCATCAAAAATTTAAATGCAATGTTCGCTATTATCTACTGTCTTTTTGATTACACACCTATTGTTCGCGCTCCTTAAAAAATTCTTCTCTTTTTTCTTATTCTTTCACACTCAGTAACCTCTTTTGTCTTAGTGGCTTTACTGCCTTGCATGAGGTGATAATATTATATATATATATATATATATATATATATATATATATATTGAGATAAAGAAAGTTGTCTAGTTGAGGGCAAATGTAGGTCTACTAGGGTTATATAACAAACAACCATTTCACCCAAAGAAAATATGTTAGATTATAATATTTACATTGGAATTTCCGCGGGGGGTGGGGAATGGAAACAGTTACCCATAAGCACTCTTTTACCATCCCTAAATTAAAACACCAGACAGCCTTTCAAAAAAAATTGGGAATTGAAATAGAAAGGTCTGAACCCACTGATAGACTGGAAAATTATTGATTTCGCTCATATTCCTAATAGTCTTAGAGATAGGTGTAAGTTTTCTTTAGAAGAAAAATTAGAATAATAAAAAAAATAATCAAAGCAAATTCTTAAATCAAAGGAATGAATTAATCTTAAAATGTCTACATAAAAACAAATTTAAACTTCTATAATATAGATTTTACTTTATTACTTTATAATTCTCTAACTCTTCAAATGTCGAATGTATTTCTAATTTCTATATTTACATTTTTTCACCATATTAATTATATCTTATAATTGTCCCCTTTTCTAAAAACTTTTTTTCCTTTTATCATTTACACCTCATTATCTATATATTTTTTAGTTTTTTTTAGGTTTTTTAAATATAACTTTGTATGTTTTTAATATAACTTGATTTTACTTATCTTTAAAGTTAAAAATGTATAATTTATTTTATCTTATTAATTCTTTATTTTTAAATATATTTTTATTTTTTAATATAAAATTTTTAAAACATATTATTACTTAAATTTAATATAAATTATCTAAATATGACTTATTTTTAATTTTTTAAATATATCTTTTTTTTAAGTCTAATTTATCTTTGGCAGAGTATTTTTAAGTAGGAACCTTACCTTATATCTATATAAAAAATTTTAGCCCACTTTTAGTTTCTAATTAATCTAATCTTCATATAACCCCAATTTAACTTCATATGGTTAATATCCGGGTTTAATTTTATAAAAATTCTTCCTTTTAAGGCTAATACATTCCACCCTCCCTAACCACCGTCTCGGGCGCTTCGTCTGATTGAAACATTGAAATGGATAAATTCTGTTTCAATTTTTCGACTGCTGTCAAAGTTAAATTTCTAATTCCGACACGAACTCAGTCTATACACCGGGGTTGAATAAGAACGACGTAGTTTTCGTCGGTTGAAAAAGATCTATTCGCCCATATGAGGTAACTTTGGGTTTTGTTGTGTAATAATATATATATATATATATATATATATATATATATATATATATATATATATATATATACGCGTATCAAAATTGCCTGTGCAGGTGGTTAGCGGATCGCATTGAGAAATCGGCGAGCCAAATTCAAATTCCAGTCAAGTTTATCACATTTACTTTCGCGCAAATACCCTTGCAAGCGGTATGAAGCCATCGCTTCTCGTACTCAAACTATAGATTAAATAGCTGCGCAGACTGGGCTCTCTAGCCGTGGTTGGTAACCAGTCTAGGAGAAGGACAATGCTGAATTTAAAATCATATGTAACCCTGGTGTAGCACATGCTATGCAGCCATTGACAAGATCACGTAGTTCCCAATGACTCTATAATTTCTACCGCACTCAACCTACGACTGTGTCACTGTATTTTGTTAATTATTATTAAACTGTACTTAAATTATTTCACTTAAACCGCGACAAAAACACACCTGAAATACGGGGACGTGGTAAAAGACAGTGATGATATCTTACATGTATTTGGCAGATGAAAGTCACCAACTACTGCAAAGAGATACCATCTCTAAAATAGGAAACGCGATCGCTGTGCCAATTCACTTGGATTGCAACTGAAAAATATTATAATTACTGAATCTAATGTCCGTTCAAGGAGGGAATATAAGCGATATATCGTGTGAGCTTTACTTCATAATAATTATAATTGTTAAAAATATTAATAATAACTTGTTTAGGAATGTGTCAGATTTTATTATGCAAACAAACCAGATGCAATACTAAGTTTTGTGTATAATAAATCCACAGTATATCAACTATATATAAATAGCACTTCCATCGTGATATAATGGTTGCTAGATCAGTTGTAACTGAGTAATGAGTTCGATCCTCTCTAGGTACTCCATACTTTCGGCCTTGTGCCACATCTAAGCTACGTTTAGAAAATCACCATACCTATATATTAATAAGCTTTTACCTATGTATGCTGCGTGTCACACTTGGTTTCTCTTATGCAGAGACTTATGGCAATATCGCGTTGAAACGCCGATTCCCGTAAGATCATCGAAGTTAAGCAACGTTGAGCCTGGTCAGTATCTAGATGGGTGACCATTTAGAAATACCAGGTACTGTAACCTTGGGTTTGTGGGTGGTGTAATGTATAACGGCTCGTAATTTTTAATCGGAGTGTCGAGTCTCAATTTCAGTTGGATTGGTTGTATACATTTACGCGCAAATAATCTCGGAAAAAGCTATGAATCCACCTCTTCTCCCTTAATTAGTAAGACTAGTGTCACTAAATCATTATTATCTCAAAAAAAGAAATTCTTACAATCTTTAAATTGGCTTTAAATAACCTGAAACAGGTTGATAAGCCGTAGAAAAGGAATAAATCAAATCAAACAGATACTGAGAGGGAAACAGTAAAAAAAAGAGGGACATAGTAAACCAGAAAGCGGAAGCAGTACGTCAAGAGACGAAAAGATAATGCGACACAGTGAGGGATTGGAATAGATAGATCAGTTGTCTGCAGTGAGGAGTTAAATCATGTTTCGTAACCTAACGATCTATTGAGAACAAATTCGACCTTGAACAGCAACTGATTTTAAAATTAAAATCTTTCTCTAATAATTATAATCATTTTGTAATATAATAAAAACAGATGTTGTTCTTCTAATCAAAAATTCTATTAAACCAAGATTATGTTGAGCGTCCGAAAGGGAAACAGAAAGAAAGAGGGTCATAAAGAGTAAAACAGAGAGAGAGAGGAAAGTAGAGACAAAAAGAGAGTGCGACACTGAGAGGGCCTGGACAGGGGTCACCATAACTTATTATTTTATCCCAAGTAAGGCATAAAAGCCACTAAGACGCAAGAGGTTACTGAGTGTTAGAGAATATGAGAAAAAACTACTAGGAAGGAGAGAGGACAATAAAAGTATAAGAATGAAGAAGACAAAAGATAACGACTGACATTTCATTTTAATTTTTAAAGATCAAAGTTGACGAGAAAGCAAGAAGCTGGAAGAGAGTTCCACAAGTACAATTGAAGAAGCTGTTAACATATAACTTACGGCTACATATAGCCATTTCAACTGTAAAATATTGAGACCTTGCCGCCAAATTAGTACTATACTTAAATTCATAAAGTCTAGGTACCATCCGATTAATTATCACGAAAGTATTTATAGAAAAGACACAAGGAAGCTGCGTTGTGGTGGTAGGAAAAGGACTGAAGCCATTATACCATGTGAGGACCAATTACATTGCAGATTCTTCTTTGGATTTTATCAAGAATCTCTAAATATATAGCAGGAGCACCAAACTAGATGTGGCAGCGATATTCAAAGCGTAGACTTATAAATATGTGAGATAGATTCTGGGAGAAAAATTGTCTAGTACGACACAGTGAACCAGCTTTCCTCACAGCAGACCTAGAAATTGATTCAATACACAGGGTCAATGGGTAAATTATCGCCATTTTATATTTTTAATTTCGCGCATGTGCGTTGTTTGTTTTTGATTTTGTCAACAGCATGGTATAGTAGGATCAGTTGGGCACTGTCTGTGAGTAAAAGAGAACCATGACGCAATTCGCTCGGCCAGAAATTTAGAAACAGCATGCTGTACTGCTTAGCATTCGCGCCGGAAGCTCCAATACGAACATTTCAGAGTGTTTGGGTATCAATCTGAGGGCGGCGAGTGAAGGTTCGGAAAGAGTTGATTGAATCTGATGATGATTACAAAAGCGTTTGGAGTGATCGCTAGTGATAGCGATGTTATGCTTCCCACAGGGCCTTAGACTCAACACGGAGGTCTACATCATGTGCTTTGAGAAGGTAGTACTGCCCTGTGTCAAGAGGGTAGCTGCTGGCAAAAGGGCTCTGCACCATGCCACACAAGCAGGAGAACATAGTCATAGCTCCAAGAGAATTTCTGCGACCACATCACCCCTTATATCTGGCCACCTAACTCTCCAGACTGCAACACCTTTGATTATTTTATGTGGGGCGTAGTTGAGCGAGAGACCAGCATAACTCCTTGCAACACTATGATGAACTGAAACATTCACCAACTTAAACAAGGTGACAGTCAAAAAGAGTAGCAGGAGATTCCGAAGTCGTCTAGAAGCCAATGGCGATTTTATTGAATAAATTTACTGTTTAGTATTTCAACATATTTTTATGTAATTTTGGTAAAGATATCTGTTAAAATGAAATGTCGGTGTTATTTTCATTTTTGCGTCATTTAGACGACAATTTACCCATCGCACCTTTCTCTTTCATGCCAGCGAAAAACGTTAGCCCGAGAAGGCACAATGTCACTCTCCTGGAGGTTACCATTAGCCATGCTTATGGAAGGCAGAATGGGCTCTCAAACGATTAACAGAGAGCAGTTTTGTTTGGGAGGCGTGCTTAAAGGGACACAATTTTTCTGTTTACAATACTAGCAGAAAATAAAAGGTATTCCAATAACTTGGACCGAATTTAAATGTGAATTACGTTTAAGCGTCTAATGATTTTTTTCTTTTTCTTTCAGATTTAACAACTTGAGTCTCTGGCATTTTCAACATGGAAAGATTAACAATCGCATTATTATTTGATATAGGCGGCCCGCTCCATCAGGAGTCCACTTGCTATCAGGTAATCTAACACCCTGACCTGTCCGCTCTTGAATAACTTTACAATATCGTGTTTTTCTTTCGAGGTCATATTTTCCTTACGACACGCGGTAAACATTATTCATCTGAAATTAAACATTATTTGCAATATAATGAAAAACACGCGGGTTGCGTATTAGAATTTCACACTATCAAATAAGTTCTTGAGTAACTGATAATGCGCAGATCACTTTGTGAAGTTCTTATACCTTTTTATTAATAAAACAGTTCTTTGTGTTTCTTTCTTTATTGCATTTCACAGACGTGCCGTAGCTTCCCTCTGTCTTTTCTACAAGTACTTTCACGGTAACTACTCCGACGAGTTAATTTCGCTGGTTCCCAAACTGCATGAATTTAAGTGGCATCTCAGTCCCACCCATTCACTGTCGAAACTGTTAAATATAGCCGTCTCTTCTATTCCAACTGCTTCATGTCTTGCCCTTCCTGTGTGTGGAACTCCCTTCCTCTTACTTGATTCCCTGATAGCTATAATCTTCAATTATTTAAATGCAATGTCAATCGACATCTTCGTATGCCTTGATCTAATTCCTCGTCCTTCTCTTCATCCTTTCCTCTATCACGCCTCTTTACTCTTGCTCCCACTCTCTGTAATCCCTTGCGTGCTAGTGGCACTCTTGCCTTGCTTGGGGTGAAATGCTTAAAAAATATATTATTTGATATTGGCAACCTGCTTCATCAGGGACCCACTTGCCATCAGTCAATCTAACACCCTGACCAGTCCGCTACTGAATAACTTTAAAATATCTTGTTTCTCTTTTGAGGTCATATTTTCCTTACTACTCGCAGAAGGCTTTATACATCTGAAATTAAAAATGAATGCCAACAATTATACAATTATATGTTTACTTGCAATATAATGAAAAACACGCGAGTTGCGTCACATAATTACACAGTATCAAATAAGTTCTTTTATAATAAAAAACAGATATCATAAGCCGAAAGTGACGTAGTATTTTTATCATGCAAATATATCCTGAAGGCTTTTATTACTAACCATTTGTTAATACCAGTTTTATTGTGAAAACTAATTTAGATCATAGAATCTGATACTATGCATATGGCTCCCGTTCATAAATTAAACACTGCGTAAATGGTCATGGTGGTATTGGTAAGATTAGCCATTTCCCCAAAAGGAAACATTTGGCATTCATTGACCGAGCAGCCAGTGCTGGCTTTCCTTTGAAATTTATAAAATCTTTCTCTTAAAAAAACTTTTTAGGAAAACAGGTTTCAAAAGTTCAGCATTTGTTATGCTCTTTCCAGTATTGATGGGGTTTCTTTCTTAACATTCTATTTAAAGTAGTGTGGAATGTTAACATCTTGATTATGCAATTATTTTCTCTTCGAGTTATATGTGCTATCCATTTTAGTTGTTGCTGCTGTTGGTAGTCCTCAAGTGATGTGGTTTCTGTTATTTGGTACAGTTCTTTGTGATTCTGTATTGTTAGTCCACAATGTTAAAATAAAGATGGTCTTTGCCATGTTTAAAAAAAAGATGATCTTTGCCAAGTCCCTCGGGCTTTATTCGCTCAAAGCCTTTTTTCACCATTGATCTTAGGAAGCGGTTTTACACAGCTGACAGTTTAGATATTTCTGAACGGGTTTGGCGCCTATTATATGTTTAATTTATTTTCCTCGTATACGTAATTTGTAAAAGCTGTTCCAAACAAGTAAGTTCTTCTTGTACTAGGTAATTCGTGCCCGGATTGCATTATTATTTTATTTCCTTTGGTCTCAGGTGTGTACTCATTTCTTTCCGGGTCCCAACCAGAGACCTAAGGTTAGAAATAGCATCATGACATTTTCCACTGAGCAATTTAAAAAAAGAAAACAAACACACACACAGACACATATTTTACATAGATAAAGCCCTTTGTAAGCTGTGGGATGTACTCATGAGAACAATGTTTTGTATTTTTGTATTTCTTTAAGGCATAGGCTACCAGGAATCCCTTCAATGAATCTATTGTAATTTTTCCAATCAATCCGAGGGCTCCAACTGCAACAGGAATTGTTGATGCTCTTATGTGCCATATTTTTGAGATTTCGACTTCAAGGTCCTTGTATTTTGATAGCTTTTTGAAGATCTTTACAGATACATTGCAGTCTGCCATATCAATAAGGAGGCACTTTTTTTGTTTGCGGTCTTTAATAACGATGTCTGATTAGTTTGATTGTTCTGTCTGTGTGTATTGTGAAGTCCCATAAATAATTGTTACAGGTTCTATCTCCGTAACCGGGTCTGGGTGGTATACATACCAAATTTCTTTCAGCATCTTTTCCATAGAATTGCAGATTTTCCAGTGCAGATATTGGCCCACTCTGTCATACCATCTTTTTTATATTAAGTGGGTGCTGATACTGTGCAACCTGATACAAGATGGTCAATTGTTTCTGGATATTTATCACAGAATCTGCATTTTGGGCTAACACAATTTTTTGCATGTGTGTTTGATA